TGTGAAAAGTACGTACACTGCTGCTGCCACCTGGAGTGGGGCCGGAGGGCCTCACAAGGTGAAGTGAAGCAAATCTACACATCACGTTTTGCTCTTAGCACATACTGAGTTGGATGAGGCTCTAATCGTATCAGCCTTTTTTCTTTCTTCCCTACGATCTTTTACACCCATCAATGATCCCTTCCCTTCTCCTCCCAGATAAATTTCATCCTCAGGTTCCCTCTTGGTGTTCCCTCTTCCTTGCCTTCCTAGGGCCCTGGAGATACTGACTCTTCCATGGTCTTGTGGAGGTACAGAGCAAGAGCAGATAGCCTACCTGGGTTGCTGGAAGCAAACCTCTCTCATACCCTTTGAACAAAAAAGAACCACTCTGTTTTGATCTGAATCTCAGAAAGATAATATATACAGCCCTAATGTATATGGCACTTGTTATGTGCCATAAAGTCAGAACCAATTTATGGTCATCCAGTTAGGGCCTTCAAATTAAGTGAGATATTTAAAGAGTGGTTTTACCATTGTCATCTCCTCTGCCACAAGTTTCCATGGCTTAGCAACGGTTCAAACCCAGATCTCCTAAAGTCCTATTCCATTACTCTATCTGCTAGATCTGTATATCACTGGCTAGCTAGCTAGGTTTTTAAAAATGTAATTCAGTTTTTCATAAAAATTCTTTTTAGACTAAAATCCCAAGCATCCCCTGTGAAATTCTTGGAGATGTAGTCCGCAAAGTTTTTGTTAGCATGCATACTCTACTGAAACAGCGATGTTGGCTCAGGCATGTTGTGGGAATGACTGATTGCTGGATTCCAAAAGATCTCCTGTATGGAGAATTAGTGCAGGGAAAGTGCCCCAGAGGGAGACCACAGCTGCGATACAAGGATATCTGCAAGCGAGATCTGAAGGCCTTAGGAATGGACCTCAACAGATGGGAAACCCTGACATCTGAGCGTTCAGCCTGGAGGCAGGCAGTGCATCATGCCCTCTCCCATTTTGAAGAGACCCTTGTCCAGCAGGCCGAGGCAAAGAGGAAGTCACAAAAGCAGCAAAATCAGGGAGCTGGACAGGGGACAGATTGTATTTGTCTTCAGTGTGGAAGAGATTGTAACTCTCGAATTGGCCTTCTCAGCCACACTAGACGCTGTTCCAAGTCCTCCATACAGAGCACGTTACCATAGTCTCTTGAGACTGAAGGATGCCTAACTGGAGTCCACAAAGTAACTTCTCTAAGCTCTGGTTAGATTCAGTGACTCAAACTCAGTAGTGCTCTCTTGTAAGGGATGTCTTTATCAGAAGACATATATCTTAGATAAGGACAAGACAAACTACACAGGATGCAACACAATAGAATACTGTAATAATATTGCACTGTATGTATTGTTTTGGGTGAATGAATATTAGACATACCTATACAACGGGTGATTCATAAATGCAGATGCAGCTCACTGGCCATGTGCTGAGCCTTGGCAACCCCCAACATTTACTTTTGCTGACTATCAGGATGGAAGGACAATTCAGAAATGTGCCAACCTTTGCTGTCACTAATGCCCAATGTTCTTGGTAATCACACTTTTGAAGGCACAACCCAAGGGCATTTAATTTAAATTTAGTGAAGGGCTCAATTCTATATCCCATGTATAGAGACCAAGAGTTGGCAGGTGAACAGTAAGGTCCACCATCAGAAGGGTCCTCATTTGGGCATAAGAAGGATCCAGTGTCATTCTTCTTGTGCAAACAATGGTAGGAGTAGATACTTCTGAGTGAGACCCCAAACAAATATAACTTTGAACCGGACCATGTTTGGCACCATATTTGGCACAGATATAGCAGACAGTTTGCTCTTGATCCTCCCCAAATTTGGGTATATTTGGGCAAATGATTTTTAGTTATGATTTCTTAAAATAAAAGCTGTTTTTCCTTTCCCCCATGCAGTTATCTGTGACCTTCCCTGTCTACAGATTTTAAATGGATCAAATACACTGAAACAACCAAGTTTGCTTATGTTGAAAGAGAATGGTCAGTGGTTAACTGATGAAAAAAGAAGTCAGCTTCTGGAATTTTCCCTTGTGTAGCTTCACTTTGTGAATGGTAGTGAGTAGACTAGGGTATCCTGTAGACCAGGGGTTCCCGATCCCCAGTCTGCGGCCTGGTTGTGGTCCGTGGCCATGGCAGGACTGGGCTGTGGAGACAGATCTCCCACCCCCCTCGCATGCATTCCCCCCAGCCACCGCACCTGCATGCATGGCCTGCCACCTGCACACACTGGTACCCCGTTCCTCCCCGGCCCCTCCACGAATGCACCCTGCCCCTTTGTGCATGTGCGCTAGCATGCTCTGCCACTCTGTGAGCATTCCCTACCCACCTGTGAGCACGGCGGTGCCCCCCCAACCAGTCAGAAAAGGTTGGGGACCACTGCTGTAGACCATCTTAGTTGCTGCCATTGGTGTTGTTAACATTCAAACTGTCCTTTGCTATATAAACCTTGGCATCTTTTTTACTACTAACAACACGGGCTTCCTGGCTTTTTGAATGGTGGGTACAGAAACACAATATCCCACATTCATAAACTGGAGGTTTTTTGAAGACTTTAACGTAACTGAAGTCTGTCTTGAAATGAGGCTATAACATCCCCATTTACTTTCCATATGCTAAATCTACCTGGATTTCATTTTCATCTGCAGAGACTGAATGAAAAGCATTAAAAAGAGAACTTTTTAATATTCTTTCTCTCATGTTTCCTTTTCTGATTAATTATGTTTATTTAAAATGCAAGTGACATTTTTTCAGAGCTTTTCCCTTGCTGTTACATAAACCCATTAACGGCTATTGTCCATAGTTAATCTCTTCTTTCTTTGCTCCCCCTCCATTTCTAAAATAAAAAATGATGTCTATTATTTCTTATCTAAAGGAGATTAGTTCACTACAAATGGAAAAATATTCTTTGCTAAATGAAGGTTTGAACACAGTGCTTTGATAGTATTGGACAACTGCTTTGTTAGCCACATGGTTCAGTATAATCTATGGACTGCAATACAAAGGAAGTTCATTTACAGTGCAATTTCAGTGGCTGAAATCCCTATGCTTTGCCTATTAATTTGCACAAAGTAGGTCCACTGAATCAGTGGGGATTTGATGACTCAGCTCCCTCAGGTTCCATTGATTCAAATGGGCATACTCTATTTATGAATTAATTTTTTGTAGTAAGTTACAGATCCAGTCATACTTATCCATGTTGTGGTAGTTTCTAAGTTTTGTTCCTGAAATACGTGTGA